ATGATGGCTTCTCCTTCTTATCCTTAGAGAAGGAGACGGCGCTTGCTGGTCGTACGTTGGCTGACCCCAATCAGCTCATTCTAGACTCTGGAGCAACCTGTGGAATGGTACCTCGGCGCGACCTCTTCACCACTTATCACTCCCTCCCACCTAACTCCAGAAATGTGATTGTGGGGAGCGGAGATACGCTGCAAGCAATCGGCATCGGCACCATCACCGTCATGGGGAAGGAGGGGGAGGTGCTGAATGTGAAGGGTTTTCTTCATGTTCCTGATTTGGCAGCCAACCTTCTCTCATGCTCTCAACTTGCGAGGCAAGAATACATATGCACCTTCACCATGGAAGGTGGCACGGTTCGCAAGGGTGGAGCTGTGGTGATGGAGGCCAAATTAGAGAAGGGCCTATACCTTGTTCCAGTTTGTGTGCCTCAGGTGGAGAGGGCACATGGAGTTGAAGCCGAGGAAGCCGCTTGTAGCTGCCGTTGGAGGGACGTGGAGCAGGTGACGGCAGATTTGCTGCACCTACGCATGGGGCATGCAGGAAGGCAGCAACTTGTGGAGTGTGTGAAGAAGGGGGAGCTGAAGGGTGTGGAGATCAAGAAGGGTGGTGGGCAGCCAAGCAAGTGCCCTGATTGCACGACCGGGAAGCTGCCAAGGACCTCTTTCCCTACCTCCACCACTAGAGCCTCCGCACCTCTTGAGTTGGTGCACACGGATGTGTGTGGCCCCAATCAAACACCGGATAGGGAGAAGGGCAGCAAATACTTCATCACCTTCTTGGATGACTTCAGCCGCCTAAGTTGGGTTACCTTGGTGAAAACCAAGGATGAGGTGGCCAAGGTCTTCAAACGTTGGATACGCTATGCGGAGAGGGAAGCCGGGGCGAAGGTGAAGATACGAAGGTCTGATCGGGGTGGGGAGTACATGGGGAAGGATCTGGAGTCTTTCCTTGAAGACAAGGGCATTACCCACCAGCTTTCAGTAGCCTACACGCTGCAGCAAAATGGGGCAGCGGAGCGATTAACCGGACCCTCATTGACCTTGCCTGAGCCATGGTTGCTCATGCGCAGCTGGACCATACTTGGTGGGGGGCAGCAGTGCAATATGCCAACTGGGTTAAGAATAGAATGGGCAGCAAGGGGCTAGGGGGCAAGAGCCCTTACTTCATGTGGACCAGGAAGGTGCCTAGTGTGTCCATGGCACGAGTGTGGGGGTGCATGGCGCAGTACAAAGTGCCCGACCAGCAACGGAGGAAGCTGGATCCTAAGGCACAATGGGGCATATTTCTTGGGGTGTCGGAGAGGAGCAAAGCTTGGATATTGTGAAGTGTGGCGGATCAGCGGGTGGTGGAAAGCAGGGATGTGGTTTTCCACGAGGGGCTGAGCTATAAGGGGTGGAAGGAGCATGGTGCTAGTACAGTTGGGAGCTCCTTTCAGGATCCCTACACCTCTTCCATCTTTGAGGGGGCATGGGAGGACCCTGGAGAGGAGGTAGAGGAGCAGCAAGAGGAACAAAAGGCAGCTGCACCTCACCATGAGGAGTCACCAACTGCTGGTTCTACCCCTGACCCTAACGCATCAGCCCATGACCCGGAGCAGCCACAGGGGCAGCAGCAGCAACAAGAGAAGCCGCAGCAGCCACCACAGGAGCATTCACCACCTGTTCCTGTGGGTAGGTGGCAGCAACTACTGCAGCAGCAGCTGGCCAAGTCACCACGGTCCCCCATGAAGAGAGTGACTTGGAAGGAGAAGCTGCAAAGTTTGGAGCAGGGGGAGGCATCACCTCTGCGCCGCACCACACGCATCTCCCGGGCACCTGAAAGGTTCACACCAAGTGCACAGCATGCTTGCATGCATGATCATGAGGTGCATGATTTGGAGGAGTGCATGCTTGTGGATGCTGAGGGGGGTGAACTTGGGCTTGATTTCTGTCTCATGGGTCAAGTGCATGAGCCTAAGTCGGTCAAGGAGGCCTTGTCCCGTTTTGAGTGGGTCGAGTCCATGCGTGAGGAGCTTGAGTCTCATAGGGTGAACGAGTCTTTTGAGCTGGTTGATCCAGCTTGTGTGCCACCTGGAATGGAGGTCTTGAGGTGTCAGTGGGTGTGGAAGTATAAGCACATGGCTGATGGGAGTATTGAGAGGCCTAAGTCCAGGTTGGTGGCCATGGGGAACACTCAAACACGAGGCGTTCACTATGACCAGGTATATACCCCAGTGGGTAAACCTACCACACTGAGAGGTTCCCTTGGGATGGCAGCATCCTCGGGGTCTCACATCCATCACATGGATGTGACCACTGCCTATCTTCATGGGGTCTTGAAGGAGGAGCTTTACATGAGGCAGCCACCTGGTTTTGATGATGGGTCCGGCAGAGTTTGCCGACTCAGGAAATCAATCTATGGGCTAAAGCAAGCTCCAAGGCAGTGGTACCTCAAGTTTGATGAGGCGCTGATGGACTTTGGGTTTGAGAGGTCGGAGTGTGACCCCGCTTTGTACCACTTGGTGAGGCGTGAGGGCAGGCTGTCCCTCTACCTCTATGTGGATGACATTCTGCTCATGTCTTCGAGCATGGTCTTGCTGGACGAGGTGAAGGGTCTCTTGTCCTCTCGTTTCCGCATGAAGGACTTGGGGGAGGCTAAGTACTATTTGGGGGTGCAGATTGAGCGTGATGAGAGTGGCATCTTGATTCATCAGGAGAGGTACATTCTCACCATGCTCGAGTCCTTTGGCCTTTCTGAGGCTAACCCCGTGCGTACCCCTCTCCCTTCAGGGTTCGACGTGCATGCACATGCTGAGGAGCCCTTGCTGCGAGATGAGCTGGTCCAGCTCTATCAAAGCATTGTGGGGTCTCTCATGTATGCAAGCACAACCACACAGCCCCAGATTGCTTATGCAGTGTCACAGCTGTCCAAGGTGGTGTCTTGTCCCAAGGCATTTCACTTGCAGGCTGCTAAGAGAGTGCTAAGGTACCTGAAAGGTTGTGTCAAGTCAGGTATCTTCTACCCCGCACACAGCAAGCCTCAGGTTGAGTTGGTGGGCTTTAGTGATGCTGATTATGCTGGAGTCACACCGGCTATGTCTATTGCCTTAATGGTGCAGCCATCTCTTGGCAGAGCAAGAGGCAGCCGGTGGTTGCATTGTCTACCACTGAGAGTGAGTACATCAGTCTGTGTCAGTGCATTCAGGAGGGTGTGTGGCTGAAGCGTTTGTTTGGGGAGTTTGGGCATGAGTTTGCTGGTGGTGTGCCTGTGTTTGTGGACAACCAGTCTGCCATTGCCCTTGCACAGAATGCATGCTTGCATGGCCGCACCAAGCACGTGCAGGTTCGGTGGCATTTCATCAGGGAGATGGTGGCAAGCGGCGAGGTGATCCTCCGGTGCTGCCCAACCAACCGTCAAGCAGCAGACATACTCACCAAACCCCTTCCTTTTGAGCGGCATGATGTGTGCATGTCCTTGATGGGGATGCAGCCCCATGTCAGCATGGTGCCTGAGCAGGATGTGGGAGGACTGGTGCTTCTCTGCCTTGACGACCTCATGCTGTGGATGGCGCCCCTCCCTGGGCAAGGGGGAGTGAAGTGAAGGATTTTGCCCAGTGGTGTTCAGCCACCTCCAGCACGAGCAAAGGGGAGTGTTGATTGTGTAGGTGGTTGTGGTGTTTTGCTCTAGCTGGTTGTGGGCTAAGGGTTTGGGCAAAATGTGGTGGTTAGACTTGTTGCGGGCTGGAATTGATCTCGCACCCAACAAGCACCAACAAACCTTTGCTATTCACTACAACACCTTTGGTGTTGCTAGTTTAGCACTTTGGGTTGTTGGGGATTGTTGTAGGGCGAGGGTTGGGTTGATAGGGTTTGAACAACTCGTCACTTTTCAGATCTGAACTCTTGCTAAAGCTAGTCTCTTGATCTAATCCATGGCTGCCTATTAATTCCGCCAGAATACACCGTCGCACTTAAATCGCGATAGCGATCGGCCTAGATCTTGGTTGAAAGCCTGCATTACCATTCTGGAAAGTAGAGATTAAGACCTTTCTAACGCATACCTGCTCATAGTTTAAGGTTACGTGAGCTGCACGCAATGTTCCGTCGAAGTCGGCGGACTTAATCTCTTGTACGCTCTCCAGATTTGCTCGCTTTCCATCATTGCTGAGCACGTTCAGTTGTTCCAGCACGTCAGCGAGGAAGCGCAACATGAATTGGAATCTATAGCTTGTTACCATCTGGTACATGGGCTTGTTTCCCAGCTCGTGCACCATCACAACGACACCCGGCAGGACTGCAAGAAGTCGCCCGACTGCATCTCCGCGCGAGAGCCAACGCACATCATTGATCCCTTGGAGCTCCAGGTTAGTCTGAGTGAAGACTTCCTGCAGGTCCAGGAACCGCTGGTGCTAGGGTCCAGATGAGCCGAGGTAGGTGGAGAGCCAGCAGATGAAGCTGTCGACCATGCCAAACTCCGGAAGGGACTCTGCCGCGTCCTTGGCCGCGAGCGCTTCCCTGCGATTAACACAAGCAAGGAAACAAGATGTGAGCGATGCAGCGGCAGGAAACAAGATGCGGTATGCGCGTCCTTAGCCTCGCCACCAGCCCGTTTTTGGATCCGACCATCACGCTCGCTCCGTCGGTGCTGATGCCAGTGATTCGGCGCAGGTCAATGCCGACAGCATTGACATGGGATAAGAGCAACCCCACCAGCGAGGCGGCGTCTGCCTTGTCCACGGTTAGCAGGGCACAAAACTCAGTAACTACTGCACCGTCGCGGATGAATATGGCGTAGATGATGAGATGCTTCCCACGGCATCCGTCCGTAGACTCGTCACAGCTGAGGCCGATGTAATGGCTTCTTAGAATGTGCTCCAGTTGTGTGGTCTGCAGCCACACTGCAGTTGCCCGTGTGAGTTCCCCGAAGCCGTACCTGCAGAGACACAGGAAACATTTATTACAGTTATGTGGTTGTTAACATGAGAGGCACTTCACTGCATGCGCGGATGGAATACCAAGAACTTACGTGGTGTAATAAGTGCCGTATCCCTTTTTGGGGAAGCCGGGCACTTCGTTCTTAGCCATGTACCGAATGAGGCTCACCCACGTCTCCATCGGCAGGTGGTTCTGGGTTGTGAAGTGAAGGGAGTTTAGGAGGGCGATGACGCGGGTCGTCTCGTCATCCCTGGCGAGCGGATGCTGGTCAATCCGCGACTGCTTCCCAGCCTGAGCTAGCATCTTCATCTGGTGCTCGATGGCCAACTGGTGCTTGTTCGTTGCGGCATGCCGCTTGAAGGCTTGGGTCTGAAGATCGGTTGCACCGTGCCCACTCTTGCCACACTTGCCCCCGTCACCTGCAAAGTCCATGCACAATCTGCACTTGAACGCAGGCATGCTAGAAGTGTTTTTGAGGAGTACGAGCCATGGGTAGTCTGTCGACCACGTGGACTTGAACGAGTCCAATGCATCCTCGTAAATCAGAGCGGTTAGTGACGGTTTTTTTGACTTGGAGGGAGTGGCCGTAACATGGTTTACCGACTCGCCGGCATTAGCGAGAGCACGGTCAGGAGCTGTTGGATCGGCCCAGCGGAGCACGGCCTGCTTGTAACGAGGCGGAGGCTTCGACGACGAGGCACGAGATGGCAAGCGGACGCTCGGGCCAGCTGCTGACGCCACGACCGGCTGAGCAGTATGCGCGGGCTGGGGGCGATCGTCGCCGCGGCAGAGGTCAGACGCTTCACCAGTGTATGCTCCTGAAGTGAGGGGAGCTTGCTTCTCTTTTTCATGGGAGAGCACGGAGACTAGAAAGTCTAGTCCTGTTTTGGCCTCCCGCATCTCGGTGGCGGCGTAAAGGGCATCGTCGTCTTCATCACCGGTGCTGTTCTCACCGGTGATCGCCATGGTGCATTCACTCCAACTTCCTGAATCGCAGAGTAGTATCTAGAGAGAGAGAGAGAGAGAGAGAGAGAGAGAGAGAGAGAGAGAGAGAGAGAGAGAGAGAGAGAGAGAGAGAGAGAGAGAGGGAGAGAGAGAGCTTGCCGAGATGGTTTCAGAGAGACTGCAGAGAGGGATGTTTCCGAGAGGGATGGAGTCTGGAGAGCTAGAATGAGAGAATCACGAGACCCCTTGCGTGGGGTGGCTGAGCGGACTGCCCCAGCACGCCCTGGCTTGGTGAAAAGGACAAGGACTAGCCCACTGGGCCACTAGGCGTGTTTGTGCGCATTCAAGGCCAGAAATGACAACTGTTGGTTATCCTCAGTGACAACGGTACATTGCATCAGCTTAGACAGCCAATCTCTTTGCGCCGTTTTGCCAACTGTGCCCAAAATTACCCCGATCAGCTGTATCTGGGCGAGCCACAGAGTAGCGTCGGTGCAGGGTGGGTACATGAATGATGAGGTGCGCAAAACAACAAGAATCACGGAGTTTTCGGTTGTCTAACAGAAAACACTGGAGAATCAGTCTTCGAAAATAAAAAACACTGATTCATCAGAGGTGAAAATAAAAAAAGGCTGATAGATCAGGGTCACAATAAAAAAAAGGGGTAAAACTTCCGGAAATCAGGGTAAAATTCCTGAAATCTGAGGCCTTGTGTGGCCCGCTCTTCATATGGTGTTGTAGCAGGTGCTGATTGAGTGTGTTTTGGCTGAGCAGCATTACAGTGACTCATTGCGGCAGCACAGGAGAATTGAACATTAGCACATGCACAAGCAAATAATGTATGTCACCTAAGAGGTGTGACAAGAATAGGTGTACTGTACTGTACGTATTCTGCCGATCAGAAGCCATCCTGATCCACGTCAAGGGCGAACGCGCCTATCTTGACTTCAAAAGCAGCTGATGTTGCAACGTCCACCATCTCAAACTCGCCTTCCTGTAAGCATGCAAGCAAGCAAGCAAGCAACGCCACACACAAGTTAGCCACATACAGCAACCCAACTCACACCAAGTGAACAACGTCCATTCATTTCACCATGAGAAAGATATGGATGCATGGGTGTGTGAAAACACGTGTAAAGAGACAGTAAAGCCAATGATGGAACCCAGGTGTGCAGAGAGGAGCATTGGCAGGGCATGCGGAGGCAGCAAGGAGAGGCGGCGGGCGCGGGCAGCAGCGGGGGTGAGGGGGGGGTGGTGGTGGTGGTGGTGGTGGTGGTGGTGGTGGCGGCGGCGGCGGCGGCTGTGGTGGTGTTGGTGGGGGGGGGGGGTGGGTGGGTGGTGGGGGAGGGGAGGGTGGTTACCATAGCTCCGTTGCGAGTGTCTAGAGGGCAGACAGACGTGTACTCAAATGATGCCCCTGGTGGCAGCACTGGCTGCTGTCCCACCACTCCAGGGCCCCTGCATGATGCGAGGACGGGTGCAGGAAGGCAGGTGGGACGAGGCCAGGGGAGAAGTGGGAGGGTTCATGGGGGAGGGGAGAGGAGGTTGACGGAGGACAGAGTCTAATCACACATGACCTACTACCAGTTCACATCGCAGACAGCACTGGCAGCACTGGCAGCACTGGCAGCACTGGCAGTACTGGCAGCACTGGCAGCACTGGCAGCACTGGCAGCACTGGTAGCACTGGCAGCTGCCCCGCCACTCAGAACTCTAAAATACGATCTGTTGAATCGCATTCCCATGTCAAGAGGTGAATCCAAAAGGGGAAGATGCAGATTTACACATCAACATACAATTCACCTGAACGTGTTGCCAAAAGGCATTTGCCACAAGGCATTTGCCACAAGGGTGCCACCTGACGTGTTAGCCGGCACCTGATGTGCCATTTTGCCACTCTTATGAACACATCATGCCACCCTCCATGCATGCGCTAGCGCCCACATCAATACCGCATGCGCCCACATCGATACCGTATGCGCCCACATCAATACCGCATGCGCCCACATCAATACCGCATGCGCCCACATCAATACCGCATGCGCCCACATCAATACCGCATGCGCCCACATCAATACCGCATGCGCCCACATCAATACCGCATGCGCCCATCAGACGTCCTACATGCCTGCTCCCGCCCAGCCTCCTCCCCATCCCCCCCTCACCCTCCTGATGATCCCCCACCCGCCTGACGTGCTCCACGCACCCCTTGCCGTTGGTGATGAGCCAGTGGCGGCTGACGAGAGCCGTTGGTGCATCCCATTCCAATACAGAGAGAAGAGCACCCATTCCAATACAGAGAGAAGAGCACCCATTCCTTCCCCATACACACATGCCCACCTGACGTGCTCCACGCGCCCCTTGCCGTTGATGATGAGCCAGTGGCGGCTGACGAGGCGCACGACGCGAGAGCCCTCGTTGGTGATGCGCACGCGGTATGCAAAGAAGAAGTGCGAGCGTTCGGGGTCGCTGCGGTGCCGCACATACACACTGCGCACCACCACTCGCACTCCCTGGGGTGCGAAAGAAGGAGGGGGAAGTGGGGGAGAAAGCATGAAAAGGAGGGGGAGGGAGGGGGGAAGGTGTGGCGGAGAGGGATAAAGGAGGAACCAGATAGGGTCACAGCGATGCTGAACTTTCTGGGAGTTGATGTTACACATGAGATGGCTCGGAAAAGGGCTCACATACCCTTGGAGAACGGGGGAATGATGGGGAACGGGTGGCGGGAAGTGAAGGGGGAATGGGCGCAGGTATAGAGAGTGCCGCAGTGAAAAGGGCTACGCGGATGGGGGCTGAGAGTGGTAACGCCGTGCAGGCAGATAGCACAGTCTATACTCTAGGCTGAATAAATGATCACTCGTGCAGCTGAAAACTGCTCCTCTATACTTGGCCTGGACACATGGAATGGAAATGCAGAGGGTAGCTGGTTCCGCCCACACCCCAGTGAGGGTGTCAACCTGCAAGGGCGAGGGTGAGCGTGTCGTGCAGGCTGGGTGTAGCGGGAATTTCTGATGAGAAGAGGAGGCGCGTTTAGCGTGCGCGCGTGCGTGTGGGTTGTTATGTTTTTCGTTATCCCACTTCTCTAGGCGCAAAGAAAATCGCACCTCAGTGAGAGTGTCGCTGGTGCAGGAAGAAGCGGGGAGGGCGGGCGCGGGAGGCGGGGGCGGGGCGATTCGCGCAAGCTCCTCCTTGAGCGTCGCCGCCTCCTGATGGCGCGCGGGGAGCCACACGGGGGTGAGGGGCGCGCGCACAGGCGCACGGTAAGAAGAAACAATAGGGGGAATGAGCTGAACAAGCGGGACTTCTCGGAGAGTCGGTAGGCGGAAGGGGAGCTGAGAGAACGGAGGGGAAGGGCGGTGAGGAGCGAAGGGGTGGATGAAAGCGAAGGGGTAGACGGGAATGGAAATGCGGCATTGGCGCAATGGACGGTTGAATATTGAAGGCATGGCTTGGCTCTTCACGTCTGTTCTGGTTCTGTTTACCTAGCAACCCATCTACCCTCCACTCGCCACTGCGGCTTCGTACAGTCGCTCCTTACTCTAGGACATGTAATTTTTTTGGGAGGTTTTTTTTTTATGTGTGTGTTTCTGACGCGATTCATCCGCATTTTGCCCGTGTAGATCGAATCCCGTGTTACGTCATATCTCAGATCATATCGGGTCTCACCTCGTACCGCTCCCCGGCGATCGCGGCTTCCAGCTGCTGCTGCAGTCGTCGCACCGGATCCCGCGCTTTCACTTCCCGAATCGCGTCCCTCAAACGAGCCGCTTCGCGGTAATTCTGCCGGTAGTAAGGGATGAAGCGCCGGGAAACCGGGAGACGGGGAGGCGTGGAGTCGGAGAAACGGGGAGACCGGGAGAAACGAAGGGGAAACCGAGGGGGACAAAGGAAAGATAACGTGAGAGGGAGCAGCATCAGCATCATAAAATCTCACCTCCTCCGCAGTCGCGTCTTTAAGCTGCTGTTCCAAGACCGCGAGGATCTCCTCTATCTGCTGCTGCTCCTCTCGTTGTTGCGCATCAGTCGCCGCAGAGCCCGCTTCTCGACCGCTGATCTCACTCCTGCTCGACACGCCACCACTACCAACGTTGCTGCTACTGCTGCTGCTGCTGCCAAGCCCTCCTGCTCCCGTGCTCCCGCTGCTGCTATCGCCGCTGCTGCTACCGCTGCTGCTGCTAACTCCTGCATTTTCCATTTCCCCTCCTCCGGACCCGCCTTCTGCTGCAGCCGCTGCTGTAACAGTAACGCGGGCGAGCTGGTTACCACCACGTCGCCATCGCGGGAGGCGATGTCTAGAGTGAGAGGCGGCAGCGGGAGTGATTGCATTGGAGCCTCTTGAAAACAGCCGTGAGCCGTTGATCTCTGACTGAGCGATGCTAAGAGTCGCAGCGCAAGGCGCAGCGGAAGAAGCACCCAGTGCCTGTATACGTGGGTTACAGGAGGCACCGGCACCTAAGAATGGAGGAGTGTGAAGAGAGGTAGTCGCGGAATATGAGGGGAAGAAGGACGGTGAGGACACATGTCGAGCTACTGTTGACAGGGACGACGCGACGGGACTTCTGAGGATTGCTGGCCGACACGACGCCTCCATTGGTAGCCTCGTGGTATTTTAAGCGGGATCGCGCTTGGTGAATGGACTCTGGGTGGTTGTGTTTTAGGGAAACGTGGAAGAACGGGAGTCTTACGGGGAGATGTTCAAGATTGCAAGGTCGGGTCTTGCGGGCCAGTGGTCAACTGAGGGTGGTGGAGATTAGTTCAATAACTGTGCCATTTTATGACTGCGAGCATTACAGGAATAAAGATTCTGAGCGCGGGATATGCTCCACGCACCCTCCATCACCATGGCATGGGGCAAACATTTGTGACCGAATCTATGTTCGCCATTTAGACAAAAACTCAAGATTTTCCCGTGATTTAGTCAGTGTTCATGATGTTTAACTAATTTCCGTACGTCAAGACTGTTGGAACGCCAATGCAATATGCTTTCAGGACTCGGTGAAATAGTAACCAGCGTTTGATCCGAATTCAGACATTTCCTGCGTTCGAGTCTACACCTTCCACAAAGGGTTATTTCCGAATTCTTCTTCTGCATAATGGGGGTGAACTGGGGTCATCGCCACGTCACCATAAGGATATTCACACCACTTCTCTTGGCCCCGCAGTTCACACGAGCAGCCCTGAAAGAGTCCCCGTGGAGTCCTGAAGGTCGTCCACGTGGTAAGTGGATTCACCACCACCATCCGATCGAGGAAGCACCCCAGCAACTTGGAGATAACTTCTACGGGTCATGGATCTTGACGACGCAAACACCAGCTGGGTGTGGGGAGTTTTGCGAAGAAAAGCAGCATGACCGCGCCTGCGGGGCATGGATCCTCGTTATGGAATTTCTGTTATGCCGTTTTGGTTTTATGTGTTCTTTTTTGCTAGCGGCGATCGTAACAATGATACAGCAAATACTAAAAGCGTGTTCGAAGTACTGCATTCCTCGACGTGGAGGGATGTCGGTGAATGTCAACCCTCGGATCTACGGTTTCAACCGTCACGATTCACCGACATACTTCGACGTCGAGCTGGTGCAGTACTTCGAACACGCTTATAAAGAAGTGGAAGGGCACAACAACGGGAGACTCGATAGGAGCAGCACCGGAAACTCAGACAAATTGCCCCGAATCCCAGTTGGTGTCACCAGAAACTCAGCAACTGTTGGCGCTTTGTCGTCACCAAGAATCGCAAGTAGTTTCGAGGAAGGCCTTGCGACGGTGCTACAGTAAAAGTCAGCGTCGACGGCTTGAAGCTGTACTGTACATCTCACTTCGCCTCACAATCTTGGGAGCATTTCTGCCAACACGAGGCGGCCTGGTGGTCTTGGTTGCGTGGGGCAAAACGAACTGGCATTACACGTGTTAAAGCGACGGGCAACTTTTGGCAGTGTTGGGTTCAGAAGTTTTTTTTTTTTTAACCAGGCTTGCCAGCGCGAAAGTGCTGGCTGGCGAAAACCAGGATTTCGTGCGGACACTTTCCATCCGCAGTAACAGTTCGTCAGGGTTCTGGGTTTTGGGTGGCAAATGTGCACCGTCGCTTTAACAGCAACCGAGAGTGATGCCGCGTGGAGCCGGGCTTTCAGCGCTCCTGCAAATCATATTCCTCCTACGCAGTCGTCCTGGCTACCACCAATCAGCAATTGCGAGAAAGGTGAGCTCGAGAGGAAAATGAACGAATCGCAGGGACTCCCGTAGCGATCCACGTCCCCACACCGTGTCTCCATCTCTGCATTCTCCCTTGCTCAAAACCCGTTCCAACTTCCGATAGCGTCCACCCATCCGATATCCGACGTCCAAGGCCTTAGGAATCAGCACAGCCACCACAACGAGCTTACGGAAAGCTGGATAATTGCCAAGGTCGTACTTGTGTTTTGCATGATGGTGATCAGGCCGATGCCCGGTTTCTCTCGCACACCCCCTGACTAGCGCCTTCGTTTACGGGAACCTTAGTTCTTTCAAGTGAATTTGATCCACCCTCACAAATGAAGGCTGTCTTTGCTGGAGCCCAGAATTTTAGACATGTCATTCCGTAAGTCCGAACCGAACCACAGCCACCATGACACAGTAGCTGGATTGTACTGTACGTACATTCATTTGTTGATAGCCTTGTGTTTCTGGTCGAGTGAAGGCATTCCATCTGCCTCCATCCCATCCATCCAAACCCATCATCCTCGGATCAAATCATCGCATCCATCCTCTCGCCTTGGCCGTTGCATCACATCACATCAACATCACCCACCCATCGCACGCAAATCCAACAACCCTCACCGCGTCGCCTTCACCTTCCTCCACACCACACCCTGCCATTGAACGGAAACCTAACCACCGATTGTCTCCACCCCACCAAGTTCCTCGACCTGCCTTCCCCAACTTCCCTCCGCCGCGTTCACCCCACCCCAAACCACCAACGTTTCCGAACCGAGACACCGAACCAGAACTGCCCTTCACATCAACCTCCGCCGAACCTACCACATCCTTCTGCAACCTTCGTTCCTTCGTGCTGTGTGTACTGTGCACTCGGCAGCACTAGTTGCTTCGGTCGGTTGCGCGTTCAGTTGGGTGAAGGGTCCTCCGTTGTTGCTGGGCTTGCGTGTGGGTGGGTGCACCACCCCCATCACCATCACCTTGCTCACCTTTCATCAGCCTCTGCTTTATATTCCCTCGGTTGGTTGCTCTTTCCAGCAAAATCATATTACTCTAGTAGGCATTTTCCTCCCAGATCTCGCACATTTCCGGTGTTGGCGTTTGGCTCTTTTCTTAGATCTGCACTAGCTGTTTACCTTCTGTGATTAAGCTTAGTTTTCGCGTTGTGAAGTCATTATCCCATGGCCCAGGACGGGTGGAACAGGGAGCAGGGGTCTGCCGGCTGCCAGCAGTCCGACCGTGGCATCCTATGTGCGAACAACTGCGGTTTCTTTGGCAGTGCCACCACCCTGAACATGTGCTCCAAGTGTTACACCGCACATATAGCTAAAACCATGCAAACAGCAGCAACAGCCGCAGCACCGCCTTCTTCCACTCCTCAAATCTCGGCATCAGCCACGGCTGTCCCTGAACCACCCCTCAGATCTTCTGCTCCCCAAACAACATCTGTTCATCAAGCGTCGTCTTCTGCTATGGACGCGTCTTCGGTTCGCACCACCGTGAGTCTCGGAGAGTCAAGCTCGTCACCTTCTCTGGGCACACCGTCTTCCACTACCTACACATCGCTTGCTGTTCCTGGAGCAGCACGATCTGGGTGTTCTGGAGCGGCGTCATCTGCTGCCGCTGCCGCTGCAGGAGGATCCGCCGCCTCTTCAGCTGTGTCTTCGCACTGCTCGCCTCCTCGTCCAGTGAACCGTTGCGGCAAGTGCAACCGTCGCGTGGGTCTCACCGGTTTTAAGTGTCGCTGCGACGGTGTTTTCTGCTCGGCGCATCGTTACTCCGATCGACATGAGTGCAACTTCGATTACAAAACGGCAGGCCGTGCTTTGATTGCTAAAGCAAATCCCGTCGTGAAGGCTGACAAGGTGGATCGGATCTGAACGGCCTTGGGATATTTCCAAGGAACGATGCCTCTTTGTGTGACCCCCCGGCTGGTATCGGTGCATCCTTTTGAGTGTTCATGGCAATATCGGGAGTCTTGAGTGCTTCAAGGTTTCCGCACCTACTTCAAACGCTCAGGCTGCGCTACGGCTGTAATCAGGGGACTGGAGGAACTGGATCTTAGCGGTTTGGTTTCCGGAAGAGCATCGATTCTGCAACCTCAGTTTAGGTTAGCAGTTCTGTTTGTGTGGAGTTTGAATCATTTTCTCATTGCCTCAGATACTTTGTGGCTTTTTTCATTGCCTAGGTACTCTAGAAGCCATATCAGGATGGTTAATCGTGAAAATACAAGAAGCAAAAATCATGTTGCCTACTTGGATGGTTCATGGTGAATCTTTATAATCTCCTAGCAACCTCTTTTGTTCTAACAGTCGTACCATTGCAATAGCAGTTGAGAAGGCTCTGTCAAACCATTATCCAGTATTACATCGGCAATTTTAGGGCGAGTCCAGCGAGTACGTTTACAGGTACTATACAGTTCATTTGTCGTGGTTTGAAAAGATATCAAGCGGTGCACAGCGGTTTTGAAATTGCACCGTTTTGAAACGTGACGCAATACAGATTACCGCACTGGATGAACTGTAATGTACGGAAAACGTACGCGCTGGACACGCCCTTAGGGCATCACCTGTCCAATGTATGGCATCATGCGGACAGACTGACAGCTCACGTCCAGTCTCCTGGATCGTCCCACAAGCCATGGTTGCCATTTAGCAAGTCGAATGGTTACTCGCGTTCGCGTTGTCTGCCGACTCCCCAGTTTCCAAGCTCGTACAACGTCAAACACCACAAACTAAAGTGCCCTCCTCATTTCACTTCCAAGCCAGATTCACGTCTGCGTTAGCAACCAAGCATTCTTGCTGGCGAGTGTATGGTCCGAAGCAAGGAGCCATGTCTGACATACTTGATGACATGGTGATCGTTGGCAAGGTAACGGAGGAAGAGTCTACTTCTGGATCTATGTCTCCGCCATTACACCAACAGCAGCAGGCGCAGGCGCCGCTCGTCGGAGAACCAGCGGAGGTCTCGGAAGGAACTCTAGACGAGGAATTCGAAACCGTGTCGATAAACGACGAGAGTGGTCACCGTCGCGACGACGACGGCGATGGCGACGATGAGATCCGCGACGAACCGGCGACGAAAGCGACCATCGACGACAGGTCGCCAGCTGCGGCAGCGGCAGCGGCGGAGGCCATCGCAGCCGCTACCGCGTCGTCGGCTGCTGCTGCTGCGGCTGCAGCAGTGGCTGAAGGGGAAAGGACAAGCCTCATAGCGCCAGAGTATCCCATGGTATACTGATCTCGTAGAATGCGAGCATAGCTAAAAAAATCTTGAGCCCGAATCGGCTTGTTTTGACAGTGATTCCCGTCGGCATTAGTCGCCGTTGTTTTCTTGCCTGACTTCTAGTCTGCTGTTCCCTTCCGTTCCTTCCTTCTGTCAAGCATTAGCGATTAACTCCTCAGACATTATCAATACCTTTCAGCACATCCCCCCCATCCTGCCGTCCTCCTCGTGCTTCTCCTCTCCGTATTTTTCTGTCCTCCCTTCCCTCCTCCCGCCTTTTTCTCCTGACACTATTCTTCTTCTATCCCATGTCTCTCCTTTCCGCGTCCCCTTGCTTTCTCCCTCCCTCCCTGCTGCAGTCCTTGACCCGCATTTACATCACTAGCAGATACGACGTATTTTGAGGCTCCTCAAGTTCCGGCATTGGCATCACTATCAGCCAGGGCGTATCCGTTCCCTCTCCCTTCTCTCCTTTCTTCCAATTGCAGGGCAGACCACGGCTGTCACTGATGAAACGAGAAGAATAGAGCCGCGTCTGTGTCTTAATTGAATAATGGATTGTCATCACGAGCATCACATGAACGGCCCTTTCCTCATTCCACACATCATCCGATTCTTTCCCCTTTCGTTCTCCCTTCTGTTTCCCCTTTCCCTCTCCGTCCCCACCACAGACAGGTACTTGACATCAAAATAACCTGCAGGCAGAAAAGCATCTGCTAACTCTCCCTTCTCCCCTCTTGCCTCTCCCCTCTCCTCCTCCCCTCTCCACTCTCGTCTCTTCCCTCTTCTCTCCTCTCCCCTCTTCCCCCTTCTCCGTCCCCACCACAAACCGCAACTGGCATTATATCAGCAACAGGTCAAAACCATCTGCTACCTCTCCCCTTTCGCCTCACCACTTTCCTCCCCCCCCCACCACTCATACCCCTCCACAGACCATGAGCGGCATTGACATCACGAGGAGCTTAGAAGACGTATCAGGGGACGGCAACGACGGCGAGTCAGACGACCACGTGGTGCGCCTCAAGTTCAAAGATGACAACCACACACGCGACTGGGAAGGCGGGCTGTGCCAGTGCTGGTACCACGACACACTGCCTCTCTGCGCCATCACCGCCGTTCTCCCCTGCATCACCTTCGCAAGGATTGTGAATCGCGCCCGGCTAGGCGACGGGGTTAGAGCCGGTGTGCAGTTTCTCGTGCTGTTTCTTCTCGTGGGGTTTGTGACGTTTTTCTTTCAGATTGTCGGGGGAGGGTGGCGGGATGCGGAGGGGAAGCTTCAGATTTCCGGCTGGGCGTTGTTCTTGCAGAGTGTGGCAATGTGGGGTGCGATCATCGGGTTTTCTTTCTGGCTCGGGAAATGGCGCGCGGACGTTCGGCGGAGGCTCGGAATCCGAGGTTCGGGAGCGGAAGATTTCTGCGTGATGTTCTGCTGTACCAGCTGCTCTCTATGTCAGCAATCCCGCACTATAGATTCTGTTATGGCTTCTGGCTTGAGCGGAAGTGGAGGAGGGGTGAGAGGCGAGGCTGTTGGGGGTGGGGATGAGGAAGCAGGGGCAGCAGGTGGGGGAGGGGGTGCATGGGAAGGAGGCATGCAAGGGAACGACTGGGGAGGGTCGTGGGGAGGGCACGGTGTGTGGGAGAGGGTTAGGAACTGGAGCGGGGGTGATAATGGATGGAGAGGGGCAGGGTGGGGTAGCATGGGGGCGGGGAGTGAGAGGGTGGGTAGTGGTGCAGGGAGCAGTGGGAGAGGGGCAGGGGAGGTGGAGATGGGGGAGGGGGAGGAGGAGATGAAGACGGGAGGATTGGTGCTGTTCTCGATGCCTGCCAGATGGCAACCCACCACGTCAGCTTGGCACCCCACCACCACTGATGTGGAGATTTGATAACGAATCATGATCCAGAGAATTTATGGCCCTGTTTGTGGGCCTTATTTGTTGTCCTGTTGTTTCAGGCGGTTCAGAAGGGTAAGTGAGACAAGAATCAGGGGGTGGAGAGTGGGTGACCGAGTGGAGGTGTATGGGGTGGGTAAAAGTGGAGAAATGCAGTGTTGTGTGTTCAGGTTAGGGATGAAGGTTGAAGTGACATGGGGGTGTAGATAATATTTGCTAGTGTTACAGGTATCCAAACAGTGCTTGTGCTAGTTGTAGAGGGATGGTACTGTTCCTCGCTTTGCACTGTAGAATGCAGGCTGGTATGTGTGTCTGGGCTGATGTTGGGAATTTTGGGAGTTGCGGTATATAGGAGGAGCTATTATAATATGTGCTGTTAGTCAGTTGGGCTGTCTATACCATTGACTGAAGCTAGTATATCGTGCACATCATCCACACCCACAGGATTACACTCGTATCATGATTTCCAATAACGGAAAACATCTTGGGTGGGACACTGTTACGGGTGCAATGAATCGAAGTAGCGAGAATTGCACTAAGGTGTCAAACGAGTACAAAATGTGAGCGAAGGCATGAGCGAACATTTATATGCGAAACATGCAAACGGTAACGTGGTGCGTGCGAGCTAGCTAGTGCTACGCTGGAAGCGAGGCTCGGGCTAGTCCTGAAGTGTAGGCCGACACGGCCAGGCCAGCAGTGGGAGGTTTGGTGAAACAGTGCGCGCGAAGTCGGCGAAACCCCGTTAGCAGTAACGGGCGAACAACGGCTGCTGCTGTACGCGATTTTGCAGGGTGCGCTAAGGAATATCGAGAAAATTCCTTACACTACCCCCCCCCCTCAAGAAGCCCCCTCCGCTACGCGAGTGCGTGTATATCGCGGAAGCCCCGGCTCCTCAGGTACACTTGCAGGGCAGGGTGGTTTTCGATGTTGGCCAGGGGCACCCAGCTGTCCTCAGTTGGCGTGCGATCCTTCCAGCGAACGAGGAATTCAATCCTCCTGATTCCCGTGGGGTGTCGAATCCGATGGCTCATTATTTTTTCGGGCTCGATGATCGGCTCCGATGCAGGGCGAGTCATGGATGGCGGCGGTGGCGAGGCAGTTGGCTTGTGGTTGGGATGTATGGGCGAAGCAAGCTGACGTGGAACGAAGGGCTGATGTACCAGTCTGCCGGCAACAGTAGATGAGCTGTTACTGGGGTAATCATGTGGCTGATTTGGAATGGTCCACAGTAGCGGGGTCGTAATTTCGGTACTGTTTTGTGTGTCGAGCAGTACGTAATCTCCTGACTGGTACGTGACTGGGCGGCGGTGGCGGTCAGCATTTCGCTTAGCGATGACGTTGGCTTATTTAATTGCTTCTGCGGCTCTGGTGTGGGCAGCTTGCAGAATTTCGGCGAATCGCTGTGCACGTGGCGTTGGGTTGTCCGGACTCGGCGTCATGGGCACTGTAGGGTTTTGCCCGTAGTTCAGATAGAAGGGGGACTGCTGCGTCGTCGCTGACGTGGCGTTGTTGTGCGCGAACTCGATCAGCGGCAGCTGCTGCTCCCAAATGGTTGGGTCGTCGCACGTGGCACGAATCAACTGCTCCATCGTCTGATTCGTCCGCTCCGTTTGACCGTCGGTCTCAGGGTGGTACGACGAGCTGAACTATAGCCTTGTCCCGAATTGCTCCCAGAGGTTCTTCCAGAAGTTGCTGGTGAACTTCGTGTCGCGGTTGCTAATTATTGCAGCTGGTATCCCGTGCAGTCGAACGACGGCTGTGATGAACATGCGAGCGGTTTCTTCGGCCGAGATCGATTTCTTGCACGCAGCGAAGTGTGCCATCTTTGTCAACCTGTCAAAGACGACCATAACCGCGTCGTTACCCCCAGGGTTCGAAGGTAACCCTGTGACGAAATCCATAGTAACCTGCTGCCAGGCGCGCTCAGGCGGTGGAATCGGCTGCAATTGACCCGCCTTTCTTTTTCGTGAGCTCTTCATCACCTGACACGTAGGACACGAGCCCATGTGGTGCTGTACGTCGGTCAACAGCTCCGGCCAGTAGTAATACCGCTGCAGTTGCTGTCGCGTTTTTTCTACCCCGAAATGTCCCGAGGTAATCCCATCGTGTGCCTCCTGCAGTAACAGTTCCCTCAGTAGTGAATACGCGGGTACCCAGATGCGGTTGGTGCCTGTTTTTACGTAATAGACTCCTCTGGCCTCTGCCAGTTGCTGTGAATTTCCGGTCGTGAAAAATGGGTCGGTACTGTATCCGTGGGTGAATAGGCCTGTTAACAGTGGGTTGGTTTGGGCGAGTAGGATGGCGTGGAGTTGGGCGGTGGGGCGTGTGAGTGCGTCGGCGATGTTGGATGCGCCTTTTTTGTACGTGGCCGTGTAGTGGAAATTGGACTCCAGATAGTCCAACCAGCGGATCTGTCGTGGGTTGAGATTCGGTTGGGCACGGAGGTACTGTAGGGATCGGTGGTCTGTCCGTACTGTCACGTCTGCTCCCGTGAGGTAACATCGCCACACCTTGAACGCATGCACGATCGCCAGCATCTCACGGTCGTGTATCGGGTAGTTGCATTCGGGCAAGTGAAGCTTGCGGGACTCGTACGCGATTGGCTGAAGGCCGTTCCCGAAGTCCTGCAACAGTACTGCTCCCACAACGATGTCGCTAGCGTCAGTGACGAGCTCGAACGGGCGGTGCGGATCTGCGTTATGAAGTACGGGCGGTGAGCACAAAATAGTTTTGAGGGCCGAGAAGGCAGCTTGCTCTTTCTCCCCCCACGTGTACTCAGCCCCCTTCCTCAGCAGGTCAGTCAACGGGGTAGTCAGCTTCGCCATGTCGGGGACGAACCGGCGCACGTAGTTGACGAACCCCAGAAAACTCTGCAACTCGGTCAAGTTGGTCGGTGCGTGCCACGCTTGATTCGTCGCGATCTTTTTCGGGTCTATTTCCACTCCTGCAGCTGAAATAATGTGTCCCAGAAACTCCAGTCGGTCCTGTAAAAACTCACACTTAGACGCTTTTGTCAGTAGGCGGTTCTCACTCAGTATCTTAAAAACTGTTTCGATGTCCTGTAAGTGCTGTGCTCTGTCAGGGCAGCAAATCAGGATGTCGTCCAGGTATACGATGACGCACTTATCTAAGAGCGGGCGGAAGGCTTCGTTCATGGTCATTTGGAAAGTGGCGGGGGCGTTGGTCAGTCCGAAGGGCATGACAGTGTATTCAAAGGATCCGTAGCGTGTTCGGAAGGCTGTCTTAGGGCAGTCGGGTGGGTTGACGCGAATCTGGTGGTAACCTCCTCGAAGGTCGATTTTCGAGAATACCCGGGCTGTGCGCAGTTAGTCGATCAGTTCGTCGGCTCGCGGGATGGGGTAACGGGATTTGATGGTAACCCTGTTCAGTGCTCTGTAATCTATGCACATGCGAAATCCCCTGTCTTTTTTCGGCGTGAACAGTATCGGTGCTGCGAAGGGCGACGAACTAGGGCGAATGAATTCCTTCTCTAGCAGGTAATCCAGCTGCTTCCTCAGTTCGTCCAGTTCGGGTTGGGTCAGTCGGAACTGTCGCTGTACTGTCGGCTGTGCCCCCGGGTCTAGTTCTATCCTGTGGTCGTGCGGTCGCTGAGGTGGCAGTCCCGTCGGTAAGTCGTACGGGAAGATGTCGCTGTACTGCTTCAACAGTGCTGCCAGATCACTCGGTACGTTGGCTAGCAGTTTCTGTAAATCCCCTCCTTTGTCTGCTGCCTCGGCTTCCCGAATGTCAACCGCGTATACGTCAGCTCCTGCCGCTACGGCGCGTTTCATCGTGATCGCGTTAACACGCACCGACGATGACTCAGGCGAGCCCCAGCGAGGTAAGGCGATGTTGTTACCGTTCACTCGCACAGTGCAGTCACCCGTCGTCCACTCGATTCGCGGGTTGTGTCGTCGCAACCAATCACGCCCGAGTAAAATATCGGTTCCGTCGAGGGTCGTTGCGAGCATTTCCTGGCTAAACGTGAAGCTACCCCCACATCGAATCCGAACTCGGTCCACACGTTCCCGTATCGCCAGTGGCGTGCCGTCGACTAGTCTTGCGTCGATTTCAGGTAAGCATCTGTCCAGTGGCAGTCGCAGTTTTCGTGCTGTAGCAGTGTTGATGAGGCTGTGGCTGGCTCCCCCGTCTACAAATATTTTAACTAAGTCAGTCCCAATTTTCCCACTAAGCAGTATAGGGCTGTCTACCGTAGTACCCTCCTTATTCGGCCGGGTGTGGTCGATTGCGTGAACCGGCACAATCACTCGGTGAGGGTCGGTTGGGTCGGGCGAGCGGCGTGACCCGTCAGTAGAGGGCTCGTCTGCTACTGACTCCCAGCGTTTCCCTGCTGCTTGGTCTGTTTCTGCTGCTCAGCTTCCCCCTTTCCCTTAGCGTTTTCCGGGCATTCGTTCTTGCGGTGTCCCGGCCGATTGCACGCAAAGCAGCGCCCTTTGAACGGTGCGGCAGCGGCATTTGTGGCGACGGCACGTATCGTAGCGCCCTCGTTCGTCCCACGAGGCCGATGTCCCCAATTGCTGCTTCCGTAGGACCCCGGTCTCTGTCGGCGGAAGAAATCTAGTTTCTCCGCCATGGCGAGAATCTCCTGAAAATCGGTGACGCCGCGAAGCTGGATTTCCTGAGCGATGTCCTGCTTCAGGCCGCCGATGTAGCGGTCGATGCGCTCGCTCTCATGCATATATCCCACCTGCTCACATAGCGCCAGAAACCCGCTCGTGTAGTCTTGGACGGAACCGAGTTGGCGCCAAGTGCGGAGCCTCTGTCGCGCCGCGATCGAAGCCGCAATTGGCTCGAAACGAGCGCGCAGATCTGCGCACCACGCGTCCCACGTGCGATACTGGGGCACCTCCACGAAATACGACGGCGCCCAGGGTCCGGTTTGTCCTTCTTGTGTCGGTAGAGTCGCGTAGTCCACCGGCTTCGTGACGATGACGCGCCACCAGTCCATGGCGGGTCCTCGCAGCAACGACACG